AATTAAAATGTCGGCGTCCCTGTCGTTTAATGACAGGATGGTATCCCCTAATGGCGGCGTGTGCAGAAAATATGCGCGTGAGAGTTATATTAGCCTGCTGATTGTTTTTGTATATGCTGTTCTTATTCTGTAACTTGCGACCGAGAGAATTGCACAATTGTCGCTGTCAAATCGCTATTTGACGCGAGTTTTCTATTCAAGAAAAGCACCGGTTGTTGGTTACTATGTAATTGCTGTTCATAGAGAATAGGCATGCGGGTTCATTGGACGCGGCCTCACTAGCAATTGTGAGTTTCGGGTATGTGCGCGGGTACGGATTGAATGGGTTCGACAGCCCTGCCTCCTGACCAATACTGAGACCTGACGAGTCTCTAAAGTTATGGTTTTGATGCAGGTGGGGAGGTTTGTAAGGGATGTCAGAGAATGAGGGTTGGGAGGATTGGGTGCAAGAATTTACCGGGATTGGGACATGCAATTTTCAGCTAAACTTGGCAATTTGTGCCTATATGATTGTTGGTCAGATTGGGGTGTCTGATGTTCAATTAGACAAGAGTGGTTTCCTCATAGTCAGCGGGAGAGGAGTTTGCCACACACTAAATCGCTGACTATGGATTGCCAGAGTCTCCTACTTCAGACTAAAGCTATTCGCGCCAGCGCCAAACTTTCTTGTCTAATTTTGTCTTGACGTTAGGATTTTAGCTGTGCATTGGAGAGGGTTTTTATTTGGGTGTATGATTAGCAGGTTTGGAATGGGGAGGTGTTCATGGGGGTTCAAAATAGATTGGTAAATTTTTGTATGGTGGACCGTGAACTATGGGGTTGTCTACTGGATCATATCTGGTTGCAGTCATTCTGCGTGCTAGAGGGGAGCCATGAACTTGGTGCCTATAAAACAGAACAAACAGTGTTGCCGATAGCGTGTCGCGTGATTCGTTGGTGCGGCTCGCGGCGCGAGGTTGCCAAAATATTTTTGATGATTTTAGATTGAATTTCGGGCCCCATTGAGCGTCTGAGCCCTAGGCGACCGCCTAGTCCGCCTAATGGTTAAACCGGCGTTGAGTAGATACCTCTCTATTGAATCTTACTTTTTGTTTTCTATTATTTAAATAGTCTGCAAACCATTCCAAAACACTACCAGCAATACCATAATTTTTTAATTTTGACAACAAAATCGCCCTATCTATCGTTTTAAAGGCCCTCTTTAGATCCAAGAATACACCCACAACAAACTTATTACTGTCAACATCGTTTTTGATTTTACATTCTATACTGCTAACAAAATAAAAGTTAAAATTTGCTGCAATCTCCGAACAATCTCTAAGAGTTCTTCATTCATTATTAATGTCAAAGGGGATACAATTTGGGACCTTAGAACTATCCGTGCCAATCACACTCTCCACATTTCCTTGGGGTTACCCTTAAACTAAACATATCTATTTTCCCATAGTAATACCTTTCCTTCTTTAACCTAAGAAGATCAACCACATTGTTCCTGTGAGACTTGAACTCTTGCCACTTATGTTGCTTTTCGTTATCATTGGCATTTCTAAAAAATTATAAGCCTTGTCACGATCTTTGATTGTATATCAAAAATTTCATTGTCAAACTAAGGTAAGTTAGATTTATACTTGGAAGTCTTTACAGGAGCAACATCGTTAATCACCCTACCACAACTTTCCAACAATTCATCAAAATCACTCTCAACATCAACAGAGTTCAAATTCCATTCACACAACAATAAATTCAACTTTATAATATCCATGTTTTTCTCACCAATATTTCTATATTTCTTGACCTGATCATTTACGCATGATTCATTGCAGAAATTAACACTAATAACAGAGTGATTGGCAAATCTTGGAGCATCGTGTATCTCTACCTTCAAGGCATTTTGATTTGAGAGCACAAAATCAACCAAGGTCTCATTAACATCGGTAACTCGTGTCGGTACAGTGACCAATTGATCTATTCCGGAAGCTGCAATTAGGTTCTTGAATTTGTCGCCATAAAAACTGTCACTCAAAATATTTACATTAAAATCGCCAACCAGCACGCATCTGCTGAATTTGGAAAATACAGTGTCACATATTTCTTTGAATTTCTCAAGAAAGCTAGCATGCGAACTTGATGGAGAATGGTAGATGCAGCCAATAACCCAAGTGACAGACGCCAGATGCACCCTAACATATTTACACCAAAGGTTATCAAGTTCAAATTTCTTAACGTTTGAAAATCTGTAATTATTGTTGATGTAAATTGAAACCCCACCAGTATGTCTACTATTAGAGCCACATCAACAACACATATAATTATCAATACATAATTCACCATCTTCAACATCTTTGGTTGTTCGTGTTTTGTGTTTCACTCAGTAGAATGATTTTAGGATTATAAGAAGCAATGCTCTGCCTTATTTGATCTATATTTTTTAGAAAACTCTAAGCATCAAGGTAGATGATATCTGAGCTATAAAGTATAGTAGGTGTTAGTGGGAGTTTTTTTGATTATCCTAAGTTTGCACTTTGAATCTATTTTTAAGGACTATTTCACTAGTCATATATTTTTGTATTTTTGAAGTTTTTATCGAGTTTCACACAACACACAAAGTACAGTGTCTCTGAGCATGGGTTAGGTTTTATTTTGGAGTTAAGGACAGAAGCTTGAAAATAGAGCCCACTTGTGAAAGAATTAAATATTTACAATTTGAATTAATGAATGAAATTAGGAAACCTGACTATGCTAGTTTTGTATACCAATGCGACATTGCAAGTGTTTGGACCTGGCTTTGGAAATATTTGCACCTGTTGAATAAGTTGGATCTAAATAATAAAATATCAAATTTCACTTTAAATAAAACAAATCCCAAAATTCCCATTTCTTGTCAGGCGTGTATTGACCATTGAACCAAATTGAAGATAAGGTCGTTTACATAGACTCAAAAAAGAAGGGGACCTAGTACAGATCCCTGTGGAACCCCACAGTTGATGCTCTGCACCTGAGACCAAGTGTCCTCCTAGACCACAACTGACTCAGTTCGGCCACTCAAATATTATCCGAACCAAGCAAGAGCAGAGCCCCTGATTCAATCGTGTTCAGGCTTTGACAGCAGTATTCCATAATCAACACAGTCAAAAGCCTTTGATAAATCACAGAACACTACCTTGCAAAAGCGGGCGTTATGGATCAGGTTGTTATAGGTGTGTTAACGTATTTCGTTTCCTAGGTATTATGGATCTATATTAGTAAAGTAGAAAATAAAAATTATTAGATTCACCTATGTTACCATTGTTACCTGGCTCCTGAATCAAATTACAATTTAGAATTGTTTCCGAGCTTGCAACAGATATGTACCTTAAATTAGTGGAAATTTTAATATTGAAGTTGTCAATGCTAATTCTAAATAAACGGGCCAACTTAACTAAAATCTTTATGCGTAAACAATGTGTAGAATAATAAAAATCCCTCGGAAAAAATGTATGAGATAAATCAAGAAATTTATACTAACTGAGAATTGTTTTAGATTTTCAACTACAGACATCAATTTATTATTAATATCATTATTAATATCAATCTTATTACTAGGAAACTCGACATAACGTTTAAAAGGTATGTTACCAAAATAAGGTTGGTATAAAAACACTTATTAGTTGATGATGTTATGTCACTGTAGTTGAATATTTGTATCATTTAAACCTGCCAAAATAATAACATAGTCCTGCGCTGATAAATCATGTACCAGGTGTCCCACTAAGGTCGGCCAGGTACGATATTATGGAAACCATAGACCTTATGGCTTCGGGACTTTTTTTTTCTTCACTAAATCGGCCGAGAGAAATTGAAAGTCAACATCAGTTTTGAGTTTTCCGAAGTTTTTGGCTGATATCCCCTCGGACTTGGTTTTTCCCTGTTCATTCTACATGCTCTGCAATTGGACTTCAAAGTTAGAAATTTCCTTGATTATTTCCATGCAGATGGGACACAGCACAGCCATAGCATTATCCTCGGGGGACTAAGCAAGACCTGCACTTCTTGAACCAAAAGATCAGGCCACTGGTTGCAATGGTTACCTTTTTGGGAGGCCATCCATCAATAGCTTCAGGCATAAACTACAATCTCTTTACAGTCTTTTGGGTGATTCAGCTCCAACAAAAATAATAATTGCATATTCAAGTTATAATGAGATTCCAACCTGGACTTTCACATGTTCAATTTACTTCCCACTCATTTTCATAAAAATGCTCATCTTTCTGAGTCATCTCTGGCCGCCATCTTGTGGCTGTTCCACAGGAACAGGAACTGAGAATAGCAGCTTCCAGTATGTTTCAATTCACGCTGTTAGCCCAAAATCTAGAAAGGCTGGTAAGTTCAAACTCAACTCAAGTTTTTGAATTTATATTAGGTCGATGGTCCATGCCATTCCTTGACATGTTATGTTACTGATTGCAATTTTATTTCATACTTATTTGGAATTCCATTCACCTTCGACAATCTTTAAAGAATTTGGTTTAGTGGTCAATACACGCCTGACAAGAAATGGGGATTTGTTTTATTTAAAATAAAATTTTATATTTTAAAGTACCTACCAAGATTGCGCTATAAAATTTAATATCGTAGTAAGAAATATCAAATGGGATTTGTTGTAAATTGGTCCGCATTGTCCGAAATCTTATCCCCACTCCATGTAGTTCATTCATTAATCCACTATTAACGTTTAGGATTGTTGGCCGCAGAAAAGAAGCGTTTTTATGAATGACTTGCCCTCTATAATATGTAGTGTTACTCTGAGGTTTAATCTATACCTCTGTTGGATAGGTTCAAAAATAGAGTTGATAATGACGCATCCAGACTGGTACTCTACAGCAATTATTTCAGAATTTTTCAGTTAGTTTTATTATGTTTGTATCTCGATATGAATTTTATTGTCTCTGGGTAAATTCTGAACCACTATACATATTAACCGAGATATTAACAAATACATATGTTATTTTATTTACTTCTAGCAAAGAACGAAAAGAAATGGGCCTTCCTGAAAGATATCTCTACACCAAGGACACCAAAGCTGTCAATTATAAAGATTTCGTCAATCTAGAATTGGTTCTATTCTCAAATGCGGACAATATACGTTCAATTCCTTGTTTAGTAGATGGGCTAAAACCTGGCCAGAGAAAGGTAAGGTTTTGGTAAAATGGCGAAATAGTTGAATGCTAAACACTTTTTATTTCAAAGGTACTTTATACATGTATGAAACGTAACGACAAAAAAGAAGTAAAAGTAGCGCAGTTGGCTGGTTCCGTGGCAGAACATTCCGCCTACCATCACGGTGAAGCATCCCTCTGTTTGACAATCGTGAATTTGGCGCAGAATTATGTTGGCAGCAACAACATTAACCTCTTAGAGCCCAGAGGTCAATTCGGGACCAGATTGGCTGGAGGCAAAGATTCGGCCAGTCCCAGGTAATATATTTTCTCATATGCTTTATATTACCTGAAATTTTATTCCCTTAGGTATATTTTTACAAAAATGTCCCCGCTAACCCGCATGATATTCCACCCTAATGATGATGCTCTGCTCAAACACGAATACGACGATAATCAAAAAATTGAGCCTGAATGGTACATGCCCATCATTCCCATGGTCTTAGTAAATGGAGCTGACGGTATCGGAACTGGCTGGATGACCAAAATACCAAATTATAATCCTAGGGAATTGGTGGAGTGTATAAGAGCAATGTTGGATGACGAGGAGCCTAGAGCATTACACCCTTGGTAAGTACTTATTATTTTATTACGATCCCATGGAGATGATGTGATATACTGTTAATCTAATTCAGTTTTTTTATTACTCATAAAACAGAAGTAGAAAGTTTTTTTCATGTACATATACCTAGATTTATAATATAATTGACTGAGGACCGGTTTATTCACCTTCTGATAAACTCTATTAGACATTCAATCTGACAAATAAAAACACAATCTGTAATCCCATTGGTCGAACAGTTATCCGACGACCAATAGAATTATAGAACTGTGAATTTATTTTGCAGATAGTTACCAGCAAGTTTATCTGAAGATGAATAAATTGGGCCTAATTGAATCGTTCTTCTATCAAACTTAAATCATCGTGATATTTTACATGAAATTGTAAATGTTTCGAAAACCATACTTCAATGCTCTCATTTAACTATTGTTAAAAAATTGATCCTAGTATTTTACATTCTGCCTAGTATGCTGTTGACGTTTCCTGTCCCCTCAATGTTATCGAAAAGCATAAAAGTCTTGCACTGTCTCAAATTGGATTTAGTTTTGAAAAATTCAAATTATTTTTTATTATGTACCACATGTGAAGGGAAGAAAATGAAATTTGTAAAAAAAGTATTAAAATTCTTGGGCAATCGAAGTCTCTAATACCTTTTGAAGCTCCATACAGATACATTTTTATTTCAACTTGCTTGCTTAGATCTTGACGGGAAAAGATAGATTTTTCAAAAGAAATCGCTATATTTTTCAAACCGTTCCAGGTTTTTGAAAACTTGTGAAATTGTTTTTCACAAATGATTAGCAGACAATATAGACATTAAAATTATACCCCAAATCGTTTTTAAAAATTGCGTAAACACTGTTTGCCCTTGGTACATAAATAACTATCTGGTGTGTGGAAATAAACATATATCATATTATCATACTATAGCCGGGTTGTTACCTCTTGCTATAATTAAACTTGATTTGTATAAACATAGTTGCAATTTATCAGGTACAAAAATTTCAAAGGCACAATCGAATTATGTGCAGAACAGCGCTACTGCGTCAGTGGCGAAATATCAATTATTGGTAATCAAAAAGCTGAGATCACTGAACTTCCTATTGGTACCTGGACCCAGAACTACAAGGAGAACACCATGGAAGCCATGCTGAATGGTACAGATAAAAGTCCAGCAGTGCTTACGGTAATGGTTCTATTTTTTGCTAGGTTTTTAGTATAATTACACACATGTTTTACTATTAGGACTATAAAGAGTACAACACAGACACCCAAGTCCGATTTATAGCCACTCCACAAGCCAATCAGATGGCAACAATGGAAAAAGAAGGTTGGCACAAAGTATTCAAATTGCAAACTGTTATTTCAACCACGTCAATGGTGTGCTTCGATGAATTAGGCTGTATATGTCGTTTCGATTCAGTTATGGAGATTTTGCAGAGTTTCTATGCATTGCGTTTGAAATATTATAAAAAGAGGAAGGATTATATGACGGGAATGTTGGAAGCAGAGGCGCAGAAGTTGTCGAACCAGGCTCGATTTATTATGGAAAAATGTAATGGTAAGATGACATGAAGTTTTTTTTTTTTCACCATGAAAACAATCTAATTTGTGTAGCATATAATAGAATGTAATATCGTAAGTATATTGGCCATTTTACAAAATCTTTAAACATGGCGTAATTATAAAGATTTTTTTTTACTACTAACCTGAGAAATTGTCATTATTCAATCTATTTTTCTAGGAAAAAATTGAATTTCTCTCCCTAGGTGAATAATAAAAATAATGAAAAAATACCTAGGTTAATAATGAAAATGACGTCATGACGCAAGGATATTGTCATGTTTCTATTGGTTCAATTTCATTTCCATACGTCAATTTGAAAAAAAATACAGGTTTCTGTAGGTACATAGGAAGTTATCATAAGCTGTTGATAGAGGGCAGCACTTTCAAGAGGGCGTTCAAAAAAAAATAATGGGACACAGATTTTAAACAAATTTTTCATTTTCTACTAGCAGTAGTAAAAAAAATTCTATATATTCCTCGGTAGAGAAAGTCATTATATACCTCACTCATTATAAACCTCGGCGCGAGCGCCTCGGTTTATAAAAGCGCTCGGTATATAAGGACCAACTTCTCTACCTAGGTATATAATATACTATTATATAAATAAATAATGATTCAGTAATCATATAAAGTAATAATATAAAATACAATGTTCATGATATCATCATGAAGCACAGCAAGTATAGATGCCGAAATTTCGCTAATCAATGTTGGGAAAGTAATCAAATCAAAATAGCTCTATTGATCCAAGAAAAAAAATCAATCTCATTACCAAAGCAACCTAAAACTAGCAAAAAAGTAGTACATAATTTCAAATTCTTAAATTGAACAAAACAGGCGAAAAATGTATCAAAATTCAAAAATAAACAAAGACTGAAAAACAATAATAAAATAAAAAATGAGTAAACCAGTAAACGGTCTGAAATTAGTCCTCAAATTATTCTGTCACACTATAGTAGGTTTTCTTCAATAATAGCTCCTTTACAGCCAATTCAAATCTTTTTAGGGATTCTAGGGATCTTATGCTAATAGGCAAATGGTTATTCATTTTTTTTTACCAGTGTAAAACAAAGAATTTCTCACAAGTGCAGTATGAGGTATAGGTAAAGGTATAGTGCCTATTCTATTTGACGCGTGTTGTAATGAGATGCACTCATTTCTCGTCTCTCCTCCAAACTTCTTTAACAATAAACAGACAGTCTCCAAAATAAATATACCTGTCAGGGTCAGAATGTTATTGTGAATAAACAAGGGTTTACAAGATTCCTTAGCCCTAACCCGCACATATACCTGACAGCCTTTTTCTGCAGAACGAAAACAGAATTGATCAGGAAATGGCTCGAATTACCCCAGAAGCAGATTCCATATCCTTAATGGAACTCAATGAGTGCGGAGTAAACCGATTTTATCATACTTAAATTAAGTTCCCTTGATACCACCCTTACCGCAAAGCAACCCGAGGCCAATTTGTTACACAAGTTCATTAGGTGGTTCCCGAAAGTCAACCTATTATCTATATTTAGACCAAAAAACTTTGCATCCAAGTTGTTAGAGATTAAGCTACTGCTGAGGTTAATATTACCTATATGACAATTACAGTTTGAAATACAGTATCCGCCCAAATAAACAGCACTGAAAATATAAATTATATCATTTTATAATTTGTATCATGCGTATATGTTCAAAAAATACATCATAGCCACGCAAAAAAGCTTCATAACGATTCTGCAAATCATTAAAAATATTTTTTAAGAGTGGTTGCTGAAATTTTTCTGAGACTTGTTTCAAACTTGAGCTTTTATCCTTCCAAATCCGTATGACCGGAAATAGTGCTCTACTAAGAAAGCTGTTTCTTGAGTTGAAAGATATCGGGTCTTCAAAAAAAAACCAATCAAAGATTGCTATGGTTTTTCAAACGTATGTCTTAGCAAAATTTTTCTTTCATTTTGTCAATGAACTTAATGTCATGTCAAAAATCCTGACCAATAAAGAAACAGTAATGCGACGTACGTTTTCGTAATCAAAGCAATCTTCGATTGGTTTTTTTTTTGAAGACCTGATACATAATGACGAAGATTTTAACCTTAACTTAGTGTCAATCTCATAACTAATCCCAAGTAAGCGAAATATGATATATGCAAATTGCGTGGGCAATTACTCAGAGCTCTAGATTTCGGTACTGTTTATTTTGGCGGATACCGTATTAGTTTTCGAGACATTAAAAGTAAGGCGGTTTGCATCTCCAGTAGGAAGGATAAATTTTCTACGTAATAAGTATGGTATTTTTAAATTACTGGAATATTTTCTGTCAAACTTTTGAGTGTGTAGCGGAACTTTATATATAAAACAGCAAGAAAAAGTCATTTGGAACTTTTGGAAGTGGACTGTATGTTTGCTTGATTGTTTAATTATCATCCATTAAATAAAACTCCATGGAATGCATTCATGTTGTTTATTATAATAGATCAACAAGAACACTGGAAACTCACTAAACTTTTACATTCACTATCGCTAATACCAGTGAGTAATACTGTCATTATAATAACCTCAGGCACAATACTGCTTTTTAAGTTAAAAATAAATCATGGAATCGTTCAACTCTGGACCCAATAAAACAATGGATGAAATTGAGAAGAGCGTGGCGTCGCACTATGGTTCAAGCAGAAATATTTGCGCGAATTATTACCAAAAATCCATTGATTTAGAGAGTTTGAATTTGTTTATAAATATATGGGAAATTTGAAAATAACAAAAATAGTACGAAATAAAAGTGATAAGGGGCCGCATGTTTATTTCAAATCGGCTACTTTGGTATTTGCTTCTGATCAAGAAAAAGTTGCATACAGATTTTGTTTTGGTTTTCGGCTACGCTGTTTTCTGTCTGATTGAATAGCTTCCTATTTTTTTTACTTATACAGAGTGTCACGAAAGATTTGTTACAAACTTTTAGGAATGGTAGATCTCGTAAAAATTAAGCTTTTTTTTAAATAAACATATCTCCGGAAATGCTTCTCTTTCCAGATACAGGGTGTTAAAATTTGTAAAAATTTTTTTTTAAATAATTCTTAGAAATGCGTTGGACGAGTTGAATGATATTTTCACAGTTTGTTGACACCCTCATTGGGTATCTTTTGGACTGCTCAGAGTTGACCCAGTAATTTCAGGGGCGTGCCCACAGGTCATGTCGGATGGCTTTTTGCACGAAAAACAACAAGTAGATTTATTTTCAATTAGGATATGTTTTTTGAATAAAAAACTCAAAGATACACCTTTTTTGTCTCTTAATTTTTTCCGTATGCTGCTTTGTTTTCGAGATAAAATCGGAAAACTACTTTAGGCGAACCACGAACGTCACTGACCTACATAAATAAAAAATAAATTGCCCCAGAATTACCTGAAATTTTACCAGCCTATTTGTTGCTTAAAAATAAACAAAAAATTACAAGAAACTTTTTTTCTAAAACGCACGCATTTCTTAGAATTAATAATAAAATTGACTTTTTTTTACTAAGTTTGACACCCTGTATCTGGAAAAAGAAGCATTTCCAGACACACGTTTATTGAAAAAAAAAGCTTAATTATCACGAAATCTACCATCCCTAGAAGTTTGTAACAAACCTTTCGTGACACCCTGTATATTTCTTATTATGACTAGCAATATACCTGGTAAGTTAATTTTATTGAACCAATAGAAAATAATTATTTAAAAAATTATAAATATATAAATACGACACAACATATTTTAGTATGCAAAAAAAGGCATATGTGATTATTTGCGCGATAGTGGAAATCGGTTTGAGCGAAAGAAAGTTTTAAAAATTATCAAGAACCTTGAGAGACGCTGAAATTTATGTCGCAGAGATAAGAATAGTATATTAAAGTATAAGTGGATATTAAGGTCTTTAAAACACGCGCGATTTTTCGAGCACGACGGCGCAGCCGGAGTGCTCGAAATAGAGCAAGTGTTTTAAAGACCAGTTATCCACGAATACTTTACACTATTTTTTTTTATTGGTATACGTTCAAATCATAAAATTACTAATAATTGTAGAATGCTACATTCGTGCTTGACACTTGTTACATTTTATTTGACGTTATCTACAAGTACCTAACCTACTCCTGACAAATCAATAATTAAAAAGTTGACATTTAAACCTTTCTCGGGTTGTTGGTTGTTGATGTTGTCATTGGTAACTTTAAAACACGCGCGTTTTTGAATGTTGGATTTAAACACGCTGAGGAGTACTTTAAATAAGTGAAATAGGTTATCAATAAAAAAAAAATTTTAATCCAAAAATCAAACCTGGCTTACAGCAAGCCAGTCAGTGGCAGTCCTTTCAGTTGGAAAAACCAGTGAGTGAAAGGGGATGGGAAAGCCATCAAAAAATTTTGCAGACTGTGGTACAAGGGCTAAACAGAAGAAAATTAAAAAAATTCTTACTTCAAGTTCTGGTGATGAACTTTTATTCGCTACCCAAATGAGTTTACGAAAACAAGGTAGAAGAGTGGCGGTTAATATTATTGAAGATGTTGCTAAGGCAACTTCGTCATCTACCATGGAAAAATACAAGGGAGTCTATAAAAACGTGGAAACGCAAAAAATCGTGCCAATGACACCGGAGGAAGCTCTAGGTTTAATTATTAATACGAGAAGCAGCAAGAGATCATATTTTTTGCAATACAGAGAATCAGCAAAAAGGTGCAACGCTAATATTTATCCTTCCTGGCATAAGATTTTGAAGGCTAAGCTCTCGTGTTACCCAGATCCAAGAACACTAAAAGTTTCTTCGACTGAAGTCGAATAGTGCAGGACCAATAGACAAATGCAAGGAAATAATTTTTAGCAAGCTGCAAATTTTTTTACAGGTAGTTAAAACCATCCTTATTAATATACTAAAAGTCCCAAAGTCTCCCACTCCGGGAACCCTGAAAAATCTTGACCGCCATCTTGTTTTTTTCAGTTATTTGTAAATAACTCGTTAACAGTGAATTTTT